CGACATCTTCTTCCCTCCCGAAGCCGTCAGCGATTTCCCCGTGGCTATGCAGGTGTCGCAGAAGTACGGTGTCATCTTCATGGTCACCAAGTACGGATTCATCCACGTCTACGACCTCGAGACCGCCGCCTGCATCTTCATGAACCGAATTTCTAGCGATACCATCTTCACCACCTGCCCCGACAACGAGTCTCGCGGTATTGTCGGCATCAACCGCAAGGGTCAAGTGCTCTTCGTTTCGATCGACGACGCCAACGTTATTCCCTACCTCCTCCAGAACCCGGCCAACACCGACATGGCTATCAAGATGGCATCACGAGCTGGCCTCCCTGGTGCTGATAATCTGTATGCTCGTCAATTCGAGCAGCTCTTCAACAGCGGCCAATTCATGGATGCTGCCAAGATCGCGGCCAACTCTCCCCGACAATTCCTTCGAACCGCCGAGACGATCGAGAGATTCAAGTCGCTCCCGCAGCAGCCTGGTCAGATGTCCTTTGTCCTGCAATACTTTGGTCTTTTGCTCGACAAGGGTGCGCTGAACGAGCACGAGTCCATTGAGCTCGCTCAGCCCGTTCTCGCTCAGAACCGCCTCAACTTGTTGGAGAAGTGGCAAAAGGAGGGCAAGTTGACTGCGTCCGAGAGACTTGGTGACCTTGTCCGCCCTCACGACCTGAACATGGCCCTTACTCTGTACCTCAAGGCCAACATTCCTCACAAGGTTGTTGCCGGCTTTGCCGAGACGGGCCAGTTCGAGAAGATCCTGCCCTACGCCTCCCAGGCCAACTACCAGCCCGACTACGTCCAGCTCCTTCAGCACATCGTTCGTGTCAACCCGGAGAAGGGTGCAGAATTCGCCACAGCCTTGGCCAACAACGAGGGCGGTTCCCTGGTCGATATTGAGAGAGTGGTCGACATCTTCCAGTCCCAGGGCATGATTCAGCAAGCCACGGCTTTCTTGCTGGATGCTCTCAAGGATAACAGACCTGACCAGGGCCATCTTCAAACTCGTCTCTTGGAGATGAACTTGATGAATGCTCCTCAGGTCGCCGATGCCATTCTTGGAAATGACATGTTCTCTCACTTTGACAAGACTCGCATTGCGACACTTTGTGAACAGGCCGGTTTGGCCCAAAAGGCGTTGGAGCTCTACGAGGACCCCGCTGCCGTCAAGCGTGTCGTTATCAACATTGCAGCCACTCCCAACTTCAACATCGACTGGTTGACCGGTTTCTTCGGCAAGCTGTCTGTTGAGCAATCCCTGGACTGCTTGGACGCCATGATCAAGCACAACATCCGCCAGAACCTGCAAGCTGTGGTCCAGATTGCCACTAAGTACTCCGACTTGCTGGGCCCTGTGCGCCTGATTGATCTTTTCGAGAAGTACAAGACTGCTGAGGGTCTGTTCTACTACCTTGGCAGCATTGTCAACCTTTCCGAGGACCCCGATGTTCACTTCAAGTACATCGAGTCTGCTACCAAGATGGGCCAGTTCAACGAGGTCGAGCGTATTTGCAGAGACAGCAACTACTACAATGCTGAGAAGGTCAAGAACTTCCTGAAGGAAGCTAGACTCCAGGAGCAGCTGCCCCTCATCATCGTCTGCGACAGATTCAACTTCGTTCACGACTTGGTCCTCTACCTGTACCAGCAGCAGCAGTTCCAGTCTATCGAGACTTACGTCCAGCGTGTCAACCCCAGCCGTACCCCCGCCGTCATCGGCGGTCTCTTGGATGTTGACTGTGATGAGAGCATTATCAAGAACTTGCTATCGACTGTCAACCCCGCCTCTATTCCCATCGATGAGCTCGTGTCTGAGGTTGAGTCTCGCAACCGTCTCAAGCTTCTGCTTCCCTTCCTTGAGGCTACCCTTGCTGCCGGCAACCAGCAGCAGGCCGTTTTCAATGCTCTCGCCAAGATCTACATTGACTCGAACAACAACCCCGAGAAGTTCCTCAAGGAGAACGACCAGTACGACACTCTCAGCGTCGGTAAATACTGTGAGAAGCGTGACCCCAACCTCGCCTTCATCGCCTACTCCAAGGGTCAGAACGACCTCGAGCTCGTCAACATTACCAACGAGAACGGCATGTACCGCAACCAGGCTCGTTACCTGCTCGAGCGGGCTGACCGCGAGCTGTGGACTTTTGTCCTCAGCGAGAACAACATTCACCGCCGTTCTGTGATTGACCAAGTGACCGCCACCGCGGTTCCCGAGTCCACCGATCCCTCCAAGGTTTCTGAGGCTGTTGCCGCCTTCCTTGCCTGCGATCTTCCCCTCGAGCTCATTGAGCTGCTCGAGAAGATTGTTCTCGAGCCGTCACCCTTCAGCGACAACACCAACCTTCAGAACTTGCTTCTGTTCACCGCTGCCAAGGCCGACAAGGGTAAAGTTATGGACTACATCCACCGTATGGACAACTTCAGCGCGCCGGATATTGCATCAGCCTGCATCGACGTCGGTCTCCACGAGGAGGCCTTCGAGATCTTTAAGAAGACTGGTGACAAGACGTCCGCTGTTGATGTCTTGGTCGAGAACGTCGTTAGCATCGACCGTGCTCAGGCTTACGCCGAGGAGGTCGATTTGCCCGAGGTTTGGAGCAAGGTCGCCAAGGCTCAGCTTGATGGCCTGCGTGTCACCGACTCCATCGAGTCCTACATCAAGGCCGATGACCCCAAGAACTACGAGGAGGTTATCGAGACCGCTGCCCGCGCCGGCAAGGACCAAGATCTTATCAAGTACCTTCGCATGGCTAGAAAGACGCTGCGCGAGCCCGCTATCGACACTGCCCTCGCCTTCTGCTACGCTCGTCTGGATGAGCTCGGCGAGCTCGAGGACTTCCTCCGCGGTACCAACGTCGCCAACATTGAGGAGTCTGGAGACAAGGCGTACGAGCAAGGTCTGTACCAGGCCTCCAAGATCTTCTTCACCAGCATCTCCAACTGGGCCAAGTTGGCAACCACCCTCGTTCACCTCGAGGAGTACCAGGCTGCAGTTGAGTGTGCTCGCAAGGCCAACAACATCAAGGTCTGGAAGCAGGTTCACGAGGCGTGCGTTGAGAAGAAGGAGTTCCGTCTTGCCCAGATCTGCGGTCTCAACCTCATTGTTGACGCCGAGCAATTGCAGACTCTTGTCAAGCAGTACGAGCGCAACGGCTACTTCGATGAGCTCATCGGAGTCTTGGAGCAGGGTCTCGGTCTTGAGCGCGCCCACATGGGTATGTTCACCGAGCTTGGCATTGCCTTGTCCAAGTACCACCCTGAGCGCTTGATGGAGCACCTCAAGCTCTTCTGGAGCAGAATGAACCTGCCCAAGATCATCCGTGCTTGCGAGGAGGCGAACCTCTGGCCCGAGCTGGTCTTCTGCTACTACCATTATGATGAATTTGACAATGCTGCTCTGGCGGTCATTGAGCGCCCCGAGAACTCATGGGAGCACCAGCAGTTCAAGGAGATTGTCGTGAAGGTGGCCAACTTGGAGATCTACTACCGCGCCATCAACTTCTACCTTGAGCAGCACCCGTCCCTGCTCACCGATCTCCTCCAGTCGCTCACTGCCCGCATTGACGTCAACCGTGTGGTCAAGATGTTCGAGAAGAGCGATAACCTGCCGCTCATCAAGCCTTTCCTCGTTAATGTCCAGACTCAGAACAAGCGTACCGTCAACAACGCCATCAACGACTTGTTGATCGAGGAGGAAGACTACAAGACCCTCCGTGACTCTGTGGAGAACTACGACAACTACGACCCCGTCGACCTTGCTTCTCGTCTGGAGAAGCACGACTTGATCTTCTTCCGCCAGATCGCCGCCAGCATCTACCGCAAGAACAAGCGTTGGGAGAAGTCCGTCGCTCTTTCCAAGCAGGACAAGCTCTTCAAGGACGCCATCGAGACGGCTGCTATCTCAGGCAAGACTGATGTTGTGGAGGACTTGCTCCGCTACGTAAGTTGTTTTCACCCTACATGACTATAGACTACATACTAACACGTCACAGTTCGTCGACATCGGCAGCCGCGAGTGCTACGTCGGCATGCTCTACTCCTGCTACGAGCTCATTCGCCCTGACCTGGTCCTGGAGATCTCTTGGCGCAGCGGTCTCACCGACTTCGCTATGCCTTACATGATCAACATGTTGTGCCAGCAGACCAAGGACTTGGCTGCCCTTAAGGCCGACAATGAGGCTCGCAAGAGCAAGGAGAAGGAGCAAGAGAAGGACGAGACCAACACTCCCATCCTTGGCGGCAACCGTCTCATGATCACTGCCGGTCCCGGCGGCATGGGCGGCGCTCCTCCCGCGCCCTACGGTCAGACAAACGGCTTCGCTCCTCAGCCTACTGGCTTTGGATTCTAGATGAGGACACCAGAACGTGGTTGGATCTTTGTGACTCAAGCGAGGCTACATGAAAGGGCCACGCAGTTTTATCCCCGTTCTATTACTTTTGGCGGCATGAGGTACTTGGCGGCCGGTGGGGTGTACTCACCGGCGCCTTTAAAATTCAATGAACGCGGACGATGGCGTTGAGATAACCAAAGGGCTTCCTGTAATCGTATCTTCTTTGCTCTCTGGATGGATGAGCATTTTAGGCAAGGCGGGATGAGTGTGTTATGCGAAGGGAAACTATGGTGGTGGTGCCTTATTTTTCCTATGTGCACACACTACGCTAGACTCTTTGCCATTGCGGGACCGATTCAGGGATATCGCGAGCCTGTCGCCCGAGCCCAAAACTGTATGATAGTTCTTTTAACGTTGATTCTTTGATGACGAATGGTGTGCCAAAGTAGTCGTGTGAATCGTCTCTTGGACTTGATAATCTTATGGAAGCCTTCTCGTCGACTTTGATACTAGATCATAGGCTGCTGTATTACATTCATTTTCAGGTGTCAGGCTTGGAATTGCGTTTGATGAGCATGTGCCCAAGTAAGTTCTATCAAAGCAACGGCTTCAAAAATGGCAAGAAATTATATTTCGCTCCAATTACTCCTTCTCTAGATAAACCAAAAATTAAGAACTTGGTACATTGTCAAGCTTGGCTACGCTCGACCTCTTCTCCTTCTCCTTAGGTTCAATCATTGGTTTGACATCAGCAACCTTGAGCCATTCTCCATTGAAGGCGTTGATGAGCCAGTTGTTCAGTTCTGCGGGGGTGAAATGTGGTTAGTAATGTCCTTCCTGCGTCCTTTTGAATCTCGGGGCGGGTAAACTCACTATCGTAGACAATCTTGTTCGCATTATGAAAGTAAATACCGTGGTCGCTATCAGGGAAAACATGGACGTCGTAATTCTCAACGCCTTCGAGGTTGAGCTTGTCGAGGAGGGTAAGGGTGCTCTGGTAGTGCACATTATCGTCCGAGACGCCGTGCATCATCAGCCAGCGCACGTTGCCGGCGAGAGCAGTGACGTTGGAGATGGCCGTCTGGTCGTAGCCGTCCGAATTAAGCTGCGGTGTGCGCATGTAGCGCTCCGTGTAGATGGAGTCGTAGAAGCGCCAGTCCGTGACGGGGGCGACGGCCATGCCGTAGCTGAACGTCTGGCCGGCGTCCATCTCGAGCGTCTTGAGGGTCTGGAAGCCGCCGTAGCTCCAGCCCCAGATGGCGATGCGGGCTGAGTCAACATACTGGAGGGCGGACCAGTGCTTGGCGGCGGCGATCTGGTCGATGGCTTCCCAGTGGCCCAGCTTCTCGCGGATGAGGACGCGGTTCTTGCGGCCAATGTAGCCGGTGCCGCGGCCGTCTACCGTGACGACGACGTAGCCGAGGGCGGACGCAATGTAGGACTGGAAGTCGACGGAGAACTTCTTGCTCACGGACTGGGATCCGGGGCCGGAGTACTGTTGGAAGAGGACCGGGTACTTCTTCTTCTCATTGAAGTGGGGAGGGCGGCGCTCGACGTAGTTGAGCTCGACGTCGTCGACTTTGATGGTTCCGTATTTGAGGATGGGGAGCTCGTACTTCTTTGCATTTTCAGCGAGCTGTGTGTTCTGCTCGACGACGTGCTCATAGCTGGTGGGATTGCTTGGAGTACTAATGACCTTTTGCCAAGGGATCTTGGGGCCCAGGTATGAGAGAAGACCGAAGCCTGCACCACTGGAGAATGAGATGTCGTAGTAGCTTTCGAAGTTTGTGTCCGTGAACGGCTTCAGGTCGGATCCGTTGAGATGGACGCTGTAGACGTGACGCTGGATCGAGGACTCTTTGGTAGACACGAAGTAGACCAAGTTGTTCGCCAGGTCGACAGCGGAGGGGCCGTTTACAACTTCCCAGTTGCCACCAGTGAGATAGACAGGCTCGGGGTTGTCCATGGGCGAGAAGTAGGCAATGTGGTCGCCATCATCGTGAATCACAGTATCGACGTACCCATCGTCCGGTCTTCCATTGGCAGGGTCCGCAGGGATGAACTGAGTTTCGTGAGAAATCTCGAACCAGCCGCCGTCGATTTTGCCAACGTCAATGGTGTTTACAGTCTTGCCCGTCCGAGCCACAACGTCAACAAGCACCACGCGCATGATGTCGCTCACGCGGTTGGTCTCTTTGATGAGGACCTTGTTGTTGGCCCAGAGTACCATGTTGATGAGTCTGTCGTCATCGGCAAAACCACCCTCAATGTCTACGGTAAAAACGTCGCCGCGCTCGACATCGTAAAAGAGGAGGTCTACGACGGGGTTATGGCTACCGGCGCGAGGATATTTGATGCGCTTCTCATCCGGGTAGGTCTCTTCGCCAGCGGGCTTCTCCTTGCCCGAAGGCCTCGACATGAAGTACTGCAGTGGGTACTCAGGCACACCCGTCTCGTTGGTGCGCAAGAAGGCGACATACTTGCCATCCTCGGAGTACCAGGTAGCGCTGTTACTGGCAAAGACCTCCTCCTCGTAGACCCAGTCGGGAATGCCGTAAAAGTACTCGGGGCCGCCATCCTTGGTGATTTGCGTAATCTTCTTGTCACCATCCAGTTTTCTCAAGAATAGGTTGTTGTCTCTTGTGAAAACGATGGCATTGCTCTGTGGACTCCATGTCGCAAGCTGCACTCGTGCATCGGAACGCTCGGGGTCGAGAGGCTCAGCGGTCTGGGTCTCAACGTCGAAAATCCAGTACAGCGCGGTAAAGGAATGGCGCCAATTGTGCTTGCGATCGGTGGAAACAAGCACCTTCTTCATGTCCTTGCTCGGGCGTCCATCGTACGGCGTCATCTGGCGGCCACCGACGTTGATCCAAGGGTTCTTCATGAGCGTCCGGCTCTGGACGACCTCTGCGGAAACCTGGCGGTCCAACTTGCCGGCCCTGACATCCTCAACTACGAGGTAATCCTTGCCCCGGGCACCCTGCTCAAGCAACAGACCATCCTCTCCACTAGGTCCCTCGATCCAGCTTATTGAGTGAGAGTAGGGCGACCAGAAGCCGGTCATGACTTGGTCCAGGGTTACTGGCTTTCCAGATCCGCGCGATGTCGCAGAGGGATCGTGATCGACCTGACTCCCGTGCTGGTATGACTTGCGGGACAGAAACACGAACAGAGCACCTCCCCACGCGAGGAGGAATGCAGCTGCCAGAATGCATATACCCTTCTTGAGTCCGCGGTCCATGCCTACGCGGCGCATCATACCCGTCGTGGGCGCCAAAAAGGGCCCCGTCTCGAGGTCATTGGCGTCGGACTCTTTGTAATCGTTGTCATCGTCATCGTCGGGGTGGTCGGCGTAGGCGGGGCGTGAGGCGGACGGGGCGCGCCGCCTTTGGGAAGACGAAGAGTATGACTTTTCATTCTGTTCGTGTAGGCGGTCGAATACGAGGCTGGTGGTGGACACGCTCGAGAGGGATGATTCGTGGGACATCCTGGGGTCCTCGGCGGCGGGTTGGCGAGAGGCGGCAGCGGAGGCGCTTGGTGCTGCGTCCATGGTGTCGGAGGACGGAGGTCTCGTCGGGTGGTTATCAGTTCGTCGGGGACGGGAGGATTTGATGGTATGGCGATTCGGTTCTTCCGTCCGGAGGGGGGGGGGGGTAAGCTTTGCCAAGGCAAAAGGTAGCAGGGCAGCAGATGCCAAAAGCTAAAGAAAGATGGGATCGAAACTAGGTGGATTGCGCGGTGACTTGAAACGGCATGCTGTCTCGAGGCAGCTTCAGGCCTCTTTTGGAAATAAGAGGACACGACGACACGGTACACCCCATGGACCGGAGGGTTCGTATGTGATGGTGTTGCAGGCGGACGAGGGTAGGACGGGCACGGAAGAAGACGAGGAGCATCCGTGGGGGAAGAGGGGAGAAGGGTAGACGTCGGAGAGTTGTGTAGGTGCGAAGGATCGTGGAGTGGATGTGGCCGAGGCCGTGGAGGCGAGTCAATGAACAAAGAGCACTTGCACTTGGTACATCCAGTGCCTACGAACCGATTTGGGTACCTCGGTGGGTATGTTCATTGACGGGAAGCTGGGACCTTGGGACCTTGGGATCTTGGGTGCATTGGGAGGTGCTTAGTGGTCCACAGGTGCATCCATTGGCTTGGGTTTAGCGGCGGATCCCCTGGCGGGCGTGGCCTGGATGTCGAGTACCACCGCTGTGGGAGAGGCACAGAGGTATGTATCCACGGATGCGGAGTGCGGCAGCAGCAGGTGGGCTTGGCCCGTTTCAATGGTTCTTCGGAGCTAGCCGGGGGGTGAGCACTGAATGCAGCAGGTCTTAGCTAAGCCGTCTTTATCTTGCCTTATCGCGGGATGCTAACCCTGGCAAAGGAGCACCTAAGGTACCTTGGAACGAACCACCGGCTGCATGTGCAAGTCCGTTTCTTCCATCTGCAAGCCAAACGTTCCATCATCCATTTGAGGCAGGTCTATCTATGTTCTTACACGCGCATTGCCGTTTAACGTAATTAAGGTATACGTAAGGTAGTTGAAAAGGGACACATTCGTCCATCTAACATTGGCCACCGGTGCTCTTCATCTCAATTCCATCTGCAGTCCGTCTAATCCTTACCCATGCACAAGCATCACGACATCATTCAACACTGAATATCAACCCTGAATATCAACAACAGATCATTGGTTCACTTCTACGAGAGCAGTTTATACTTTTCACTAATCTGCCCAGACATGTTTGACTTGCAAACGTTATCGATTCAAGATACTCTCAAAATAATATCCAACACAGTGGTATCAAAACTCCTCCTCCTCCCAGCTCCCTCAGGCCTCCAATCCAGAATACCTCACACAGATCCAATCCTCCATGAAACAAAAACCTCACCCTGCCAAGCTCCGACCCCCATGACAACCTCACCTCACCTCTCCCCTCACCTGTCCCTACACATCCTCCCTACTCCTCCCCAAGCTGCGGCGCAAACCCCCCCCCCCCCCTCAACCCTCTCAACAACACACGCCGTCCCATACGCACAAGTCTGCGCAAACCCACCCAAATCCGCCGCATCAAACCGCAAACAAATAATCGCGTTCCCCCCTCGCTGCTTACATTCGCTCACCACCCTACCGAGCGCGTCATTATGGCAGGTATACAGCATCGTCGTGAACCACCGCAGCTCCCCGCCCGCAAAGGACTTGATCACCATGCCCAGGCTCGCGGCGATGTTGCGCGAGCGCACCGAGAGGCCGTAGACTGCGCCTAGGGTGCGGGTTACGCGGTAGCCGGGGATGTCGAACATTGCTGTGTTGCGCGTGTGTAAGTAAGGTAAGGTAGGTGTTAGTTATCTCGTGTAAAGGCGTGGTCTGTGAACACGTACTGGTTGTGATTACGCCGCCTGTTTCTGTGAAGCAGTGGAGGTCTGATAGCTCGGGCGGGATGTTGGCCACGTCCTCTGGCTTGACGTCGCTCTTTTTGCCCATGAAGTTCATGATGTTCTCCTTTTTTTTTTTTTTTTTTTTTTTTTTTGACTGTAAGGGCAATTACTGTGAGAATCTCGAGAAATAGGGATTTATCCGTGGCTTGAATAGTTGCTGTGAATGATGCTAGTCGCTACAATCTAAGGTAGGTTGATCGCAGAAAGGAGACAACAAGCCGCCCATACTTATAGAAAATCCAAATCTCCTCCAATTGCTCAGCTGTACTTACTTCCCAAAGCCTACATATTCTCATCAAGACAATGATGAGGCCAGCAACCCATCCCGCGCAAGGCCGATCACCGCCGGCAATGGTAGCCAATGGAAGCGGCCAGGCGGCCCTTCACGGCCCCACCCGGCGCACTCCACCGAAACTCTCCATCGGTCGCAGCCGGGGCTGAGTCCGGATCGTATTTCGTATCGGCACCAAAGGCCCCAGGCAGAGACACACGTGACGGGTTTCCTGGTCATTGGGATTTACATGTGCGGATTTGCATCTTGACCTCGCGCTAGTAAGTACAAGTAGCTGATGTGATTTGAGACATTGATCGACACCTCACGATGAAGCTCTGCTCAGCCCTGGTCACTCTGACATTCTTCCAATTAGGGCTGTGTTATATTGGTCTTGTACATCAGTTAGCCCCCGGATTGATGTTTGAGCTCAGCGTCGGTATGCGAAGAGCTGGGGCATGGATCTAACTATATGATTATTTCAAGGCTTTCACGCATTAAGTAGGTATCAGCGCCGTGAAGGAGTGGACTCGGTTTCAACACCATTCTGCGGATCGTGTTAGGATCGTAGAGACATACATCCCTCGCAAGGACAATCCAAATGTGGCATTGTGAAAAATCGTTGGATTTGTCTAGAAACGACAGACGCTTGCAAGCCTCCCAGCCACGCCGTTCCTCTATGGTATCTCATATAGTCCCAAACATAAACGCCTGACTTAAATCTCAAACAGCATGTGCCAACGAGTGTACTGTTTCCCCTGTCCTGAACGTATATCAAATACCCTCCAACGCCTGCGTCCCTGAAATGATAATAATCAAGACCAAAAAAAAAAAAAACCCCCCCCGAACATCAAGACGAAAAAGGCCAAATTCCAAAAGAACAAGAAAAGAAATGGCATACCGCCCACAAGAAAAGGAAGTCAAACCTCGCAACCCTCACGCAGTCAACCCCATCGCGCGCAACCGATTCAACACCCCAGCATCTCGAATAAGCTCCATCCCTCGCTCCATCCACGCCTCAAACCCGTCAAGACTCTCGTCCCCAGGAAAATCATCCCAAATCTCAGCCTCGGTGTCCGGGTACCGCGACTGGATGCCCCTCAGCGCATCAACGTTGGTCCACACCGGCAACCGCCTCCGGACGCAGCAGTAGTAAAAGTAGAGAATCCGACACAGCGACTGCACCCGCGCGTGGACAGCCTGCTTCCTCGCCTCGTCGTCCGTCTGGTCGTACATGGCGGCGGCAGCGTCTCCGGGCACCACGGCCCACCAGGATAGCCGCCAGCGCAGGGTGAGGAGAATACGGCCGAGCCTCTGCAAAAAAGGGAGAACCTTGTCGTCATCCATGTTGCCAGACTCGTGCAGGAGGCGCTGTAGGTTCCCGTAGGCTTTGACCTCTAGCTTGCGGCAGATGATTTTCGAGAGCTGGGCCGCGAGGACGAGGTTCTCCGCCTCGAGCGGGTTCTCTGCGTTCAGGGGTTGCTCCATATGTGTGCCCATGGAGGTATACTGCCGCTTGGAGACGTAGGAGAAGCCCGCGCGGCTGGGCATGTTATTGACGAGGCAGAGGAGGGCGAGGGTATCGTCTCGCGAAGTCGTCAGCTGGGTCATGCAGCGCTCCCAGTCGTCTGTCTTTGGGTCGACGCGCAGGATTTCTCGGTCGATGAAGGACTGGAAGCTGCACTCGCTGCCGTCCATTTGCTGTCTGAGACCTTGGAGGTACTCGTGGCACGCGTCGAGGTCGAGGACGTAGATGGGGCGGCCGTCTTGGTGGACGCGGAAGTTGAACTGGCCTCGCGCGCGGTTTACCCTGTGGATGAGGTTGTCGATTTGGAGTTGTCTGGGGAGTTCTCTGCGGATGCGGGTCTTATTGTCGAGGGTCGGATGATAGATGGCGTGCTGGGCTGGCTTGGAGTTAGTCTTGGGGGAATCGAGGCATTGGCGGGCTGCGACGATAACTCACAGATGTAGTTACACGTTCCCGCATGAATGAGGTCTTCGAAATGGGCTCTGACACAAGGTCCTGGCCATCTTTGAGAGCCGCCGTGTTTGTCGCACCCGGTACAAGAGCCTCGAGGAGAATCGTCGCTTCGATTGCACTGGGTACAAGTCAGTATAAAAATGGCACAGACTGCTGGTGACAGGTGCTTACCTTTTGCTTCGAGTGCTTGCAGCGAATGCAAACCATCTTCTTGTTCCGCGTCTCCTTGGCTTGCCCACGAGAGACGGGATCCATTGGGCCGTGCCGGCGTCCGCGAGCCGGGCCTGAACGGGGCCGGCCCACGAGGCTTTGTGCATCAGAAGATCTGTTGCTGCTGCTGTTGCTCAACCTTCTCGGGCGGGCCACGATTGGCATGGGCTCTGTCACTCCTGATCTCCTTGGTGGTTCGGACGGACGCAATCTCTGGAAGTGAGAGTTAGACACTGACAGGAATTGGGTCGTGTTCTGTTGAAGGGGGCTTCTGCGTTGTGATGCGGAATTGGCGCCGTTCATGGTCGGATGGGGTCTTGCGGCCTGTCTTCTCACGGCAGCGTCTATCCGTACCGGGTCTGATCGTCTCCTGAGTCTTCTACCCGGGATCATACCTGGGACCAGAAGACCATTCGCACGGGCTACGGCAGGGTTCTGCGGCGCTGATGTATTTGGGACGCTCCGAGGCTGCGTCAATACAGGAGCTGCATAAAGTTCCGTGAGGTAGTCGAAAGGATGTGTCTGGGAGGTCGACTGCGCATTGGAGGTCGCATATTCGCCAAAGTCGCCCATCTCTACGTCAGGCATATCGGGTGGAACGACAACCAACGACGGGCCGAGTTGGCTCGCGTTGTATGGTATGAAGCCCTCGGAAAGCGACGGAGTATCCCACATGAGAGCATCAAAATCGTCAGCTCTGCCGTCCCCAATCCCAGAATCCCACCGGTCATAGAATGGCGACGTAGGACTCAAGCTGGCCGAAAATGAAGACTGATTTGCCAGGCCTGTCGACAAAGCGCTGATATGCGGCCCCGGCACGCTTCTCGGAGTATCCGCAGAAGTAAATCCAATGTCGGACAATGCATCGTCGACACCGAGTACGGATGATTGCGGGGTATTCGCCGCCGTCGCCGATGAAGCGCCAGAAACGGGACTCTCTGCCTGCATGTTGAGATATGGACATCTGGTAATGATGGGACTGCTCTCCAGAGAGGGGTTCCTAGACAAGATGGTGTCGGAGAAGGTGGTGCTTGGGCTGTTGATGCTGCCAAAGAAGCCGTGTCCAAAGCTATCGTCGAACCCCCCAACCCCACTGAAGTCCCCGGCATGGCTGAAGATGACGGATTCCTCCTCATCAACGCCGGACGAGCTCGCCTGGCTGCTTGTCCGGGCCAGTTCTGACGAAGCAGGTTTGGCCGCGTCGAGGTCGATTCCATTGCCAATGGCCAAGTCGAAAGGGAGATCGTTCTGATCTGCCACTGCGGCGTGAGTAGGCGGCCAAGCGGACGACAGACCGGCTTGATGAAGACCATCTGGGAGCTCGTTGTAAAAGTCCCTGGAGAAGTGTTAGACCATGACTATGTTCTCGGGCAAAGGAGGCTACGAGGGTTCAACTCACTTGATCAAGGATTCATCGTTTCTAGGGGCGTCGGTACTGAGAAGGTCGGCGGGACCGATGGGCTGAGCAGAAGAGCCATCGTGGCCTGCTGCCCATTGTTGCTGGCTGAAGGGGTCGTCGGCCGATTGCCCGGCCCATGTGAATGGGGTATTGATCCTGATGTTATCCCAGTGTGCCATACCAGTTTTCAATGTCAAGGTGACTTGTTGATGAATGCCACTTTATTTCCAAAGAGGCTGTGTTTTGTTTTTATTTTGGGAGAGTTTTGCCCAGAGTGTGGCAAGAAGAGGAAGTGCCCCGAACAGGCTGGGGGATGGGAAGCCATATTAAGCGCCTGGGTTACAAGAACGAGGCTCTCGTTCTTGGCTAGGTAAGCTTGATTGGAGGTGTTGTGTTTGTCTGCTGGCATGTGGTTGACGAAAGGTGTGTGGGAACGAACGGACGAGAGGAAAGCTTCCATCACCCCTCTCCTCTCTCTCTCTCTCTCTCTCTCTCTCTCACACACGCTGTATCTGCTGTAGCCTGTGGGCATCTGCGCGGTTCTTTTTCTTAGTGTAGCCCAGAGGGACCCAGAGGAACCCAGAGGAACCAACCAAACCCCTAGGCAAGGGGAAACGTGCACGCCTTTCGGTGTGTTACAGCAGAAGATGGCGCCGGGGAAGTTGGTTCTAGGGCTCCGATATAGGGCGGCAGATGGCGGCTTACACCGGTTCTTGACTCTCGCACACATTTCGTCCAATGATTTAGGCACTTTCTTTCCTCTCTCCCCAATGTTTGGTTTCCATCCGTACTTGTTCGTACAAGGGAAGGATGTAAAGTACACGAGGAGGGTGTAATGTACTTGCTCTCCACTACACCATCGCGAAGGTTTACAGAGACAGGGCGAGTGTGTGGTGGACCAAGAGAGAGAGAGAGAGAGAGAGCCTGCCGAAGCTCACGTTGGGCAAACTGCAAGGCGCACCACCGACTCGGGACGCCTCGTCCCAAAGTCTACGTCTTTTCCCACAAGTCCACACAAGCGTGCCAAGTTCCAATGGCCTTGATCCGAACATTGGAGGCATTATCCCACCCTCATCTACCTCGACTTTCCCTTCTCGTGCACTCGACCTTGGTCCCGTTCGTAGATCCATCCGATACGGCGCTGCCGTGCTCCGTGGTCGGCGGGGTCAGCCGAAGAGAAGGGAACTGGATCAGGAGGGGAATCGTCGGTAAGTTCTTCTCAGATTTATCGGACAAAGTCAATACCGTGGCACATGACAGGACACGATAAAAAACAGACCCTTTAACAGATAGGACACATAGGCCAGCCCTGTGGGTTTCTTGCAGGAAGAGTCATACCTTACATCGGGACTTTTTGTAACCCCCCTTCTGACGTTGTCTGTTATAGCCCAGCCCTTTTCTCATCTTCACCCTCCTTTGAGTGACCCGAAGCGCGCGCGTCATACTTCGCCCAGCTACATACAGTCTGTCCCGCAAACTCTCGTGTACACCACCTTTTTGGTGCCTCCATCCGCGGAACCACAGCCGGGCAGCCTGATCTTGGCTCCTCGGTTGCCTTCTTTTTCCTCTGATCCCTGTTTTCTACATTCATTCTGTACAGCTGCTGCGGCTCGGCGGCAGCCTGCCTTGGATCTACTACCTACCGGTGCCACTACCGTCTACGGTTCTACCCCCATCAAAAACCACCAGAAAGCAAAACGCGTCGGCGCCAGACTTGCCAATATATCGCTGCCTGACCTACCTCGGCATGTCACTCCTATTATCTCTTGTTCTATCCTTACACACTAGGACATCGCCGACGTGCGACAATGCGGCTCTTGGTAAATAACTTACCACATCACTACCATCTCCCCCCCCCCCCCCCCCCTGGCCGGGTTACCCACACATACACACATGGCGTGTTGATTATACCCGGGCTTACACGGTATTACGGCATCAAGTAAATTGATCAGTACGCCTCTTCTCTTCCGTGTCCGTAGGTAGTCAACGACGACGGACCCCCGTCCCCCGTCTCGCCCTACTTCGCACCCCTCATCACCGCCCTGAACGAGGCGGGCCACACAACCGTCGTGGTCATCCCCGACAAGCCGCTCTCGTGCATCGGAAAGGCCCACGCAGTCGGCAAGAACCTGACCGCAGAGAGCAGATGCCCAACATCCTTCTCTTCAGATGACATCAACAGCAACAACAGCACCGCCAGTAAACCCTGTACTGTCCCCGGCTGCGACGATGTCCAGGGACCCGAAGACCGCACCCACCACTGGCTAATCGTAAACGGGCCTCCAGCAAGCTGCACCCAACTAGGCCTCTTCCACACACACCCGGCCTCCAACCCCAGGACTTTGACCTCGTCATCTCCGGCCCCGACCACGGCCGCAACGCGAGTACCATCTACGCACTCAGCAGCCCTCAGCTTCGGGAGTAAAGACCGCCAACCGCCAACGACCATCCGCGCGCGCGCGCCGTCGCGCTCATCCAAGAGCTTGCGAGGGATTGGCACCCCGAGGTGGAGGTGTACAGCGTCAACGTGCCCATGGTCGCCGACGTCGGTGAGGCGCCGGTGAGGGTTACGAGGACTGCGGAGGGGAGATGGGTCACGGGGGGACTGTTTGTTCCCGTGCTTGATGAGTCTGCTGCCGCTGCCGCTGCCGCTGCCGATCCTGAGAAGATGGCCATGTCGGCGTCGTCGCGTACGTATCAGTTTCGGTGGGCGCCGCAGCTTGGTGATATTAGACGGCAAGCTGAGGAGAGTCCCGAGGGTGAGGACCTGTGGGCTTCGCGTAATGGCGTCATTAGCATTGCTCCGTTGAAGGCGAGCTTTACTGCCGTGAATGTACAGAAATAAGCCTCTTTGGAGGGGGGGGGGAGCACACCCTTCCAAGTGCTCGGTGAGAAAGGGTAACTTAGAGTTCTGGCATTCTTAGAGGTCCCTTTACGAAGTGCGATATAGAGATGAAGATGGTGGTCTAGATTTGGAGGTATACCTAGACCTAGAACTGCATACTTGGACTTGGAAGTATAGAGGTGGGCTTACCAACCTGAGAGTTTGGTAAAGTAAAGACGAGCAATCTCTCAGATGGACACACAACCACCGGCGCTATCTTCAATGAAGATCCCACCGTACATCAGACCCTCATTCAGGTGACTAGATTGATACCCCGAGTTCACCACGTCATCCGTCCCCGTCGGCTTCTTCAAGATGCCAATCTGGTACTGCCCCTCACCGGTGAGGTCAATCGAGATGACGCCACCCTGCTTCGCGAGCGGGTTGCCGCCCGCAGAGAACCATATCTGAATTGTACTTAAAAGACAACAAACCTGTTAGTTAATCAAGAAATGTTTCTGACATCACCAAACGTGATTTGATGAGTGGTTCGATATGAAAGGAGAGCAGAAGGAAGAGAGACTTAACTTGTTCAAAAAGTCCAACGTGAGCGCAAAGTTCTGCCACGACCCGTCCATCGCAATAGGCGTCGACCACAGCAGCTTATTATTCCGGTCCAGCAGCTTAAACGCGTCTTTGGGTAAGTCCGACTGACCGATGATGGTACCAGTCTGGAAATTGAACTGATTCGCGTCATACGCCGCCGTCTCATGCCAGACATTCTGCATTTTCCCCAAAAGAGTATATGTATCAGCATCGGTAGCAGCAAAGGCTTGCTTGCACTCACAATTTGACATCCACTTCACCCACAGTACATGTATTGAAAGAAGGACTTACAAGATACTCATGCGTCAAATTCAACGGCCTCTCCAAATCCATCCTCACACTAAAATGCACCGTCCTCACCCCCTCCGCCGCAGGACTCCCCTCGTTCGTATCCCCCGCGAACAACAGCCCCGCGCGCCGGAAACCCTGCTGATTCATAAAAATGCTCGCGTCAGAAAGTGTGACCTCGAGAGGACGCTTCTTCTCCGCGGCATCGAAGCGGGAGAACCGTGTCCCGGACCGAGTGGAGACCGGCCCCGGCCCCGGCCCCGGCAGGAGAATGATATCCGACCAGGACAAGTTTGCGCCCTTTACGTAGTCTGGGTTATACGGATTCCAACCCCCGCCGAGGGAAGTGTCAAAGTCCTGCGGCGTCGCTGTGGCGGGGACGCGGCCTTCGAAGATGAGGGGACATTGGATCGTTGCGGTGGTACAGGGTGAGGGTGATGCCAGGGCAGAGGGGGCGGCGAGGAGGATAGGGATGAGGGAAGGCGAGCGCATCGTGTCTTTGGACTTTTTGTAGCAAAAAAGAGCTGGCTTAATGGGAGTAAGGGCTCGAGCGTAAGGTAGAGTCAAGCATGTTGAGGTAGATAAGTAATGTAGTCCAGTTCAGCCAAGGGGGAGAGGGAATCACTCGTTTTGATAGATCTTCGAGGAGCTCGGGTGAATGGCTATGTTGGTGGTGGCTTGATATGTCGACGGCAGCTACGTTCCGAGATGTTTGAGGCGAAGAAGAGTTGTTCCATCCCAGCGAGGCTATGGTCTTCCCAATGTCGCTTGTTCCCGCGGTTTCCATAGCCAATGCCTCAAGGTTTCTGTCCGCAGTTTGATAGTACAGTGCGATTGATGATTGTAGAAGGTAGTATGAAGGTCAACCGCTCATGGCGCTTGTGCTATGCTGGCCTAAATCCAAGACTGGCCTTACAGTATTCACGCTGATGTAAGCTGAGGTCGTTGTCCGTTTCGATAAACTCGCAACATTGTTCTGGGCGAGAGACGGGATCGGTCAAGTAAGAGGTCGTCTTGGTCATGGGACAGCCCCTTGACAGTGAGGCAGGTGGAACCCCGTTGGCTATACGTGGCAGGCTTTCTCTCAATCCTATGATGTTGACGTCAGGAAAGCAAAAGGGAGTTCCCTGTGAAGTAGTCGTCGATGGGACCTTCTGCGTGATCTGGGCTGCTTGTAACACCCCTTCCCAGTTAGATAACTAACCATTCAAAGGTAGGGAGGAAATGTCAAGTCAAACTCACACAAATGTGAAGGAAGGGCCTTGGGACATTATACTTTCCAACGCAGTTGAGAGCAGAGACCAAACCTTCTTTTCTGTGAATACCATGTTATTTCTGGACCTAACTCGATCTACACAGCAGTGTCTGCAGTTGAGATATCGATTCAGACTCAAGCCAGGGACGACCCGTTGTCAAAGGCTAAGCAAGTGCTGCTTCCACGTGTCTGACATTTCATTGAGACCTCTAACGCAACATAATCGAGGGCTCCTCTTCTCGATACCCATCGCCAAGACATCAAATGATCCAGTCCGAACACATGAAGTGAACGGCACAGTATTCAAACTCGAAGCCTCTGTCGTTGAGGAAGTCAACCCCTCCTCGACTTTTGTCCCTGGAAGAGAGAGAAAAGTTGAGAATCCCATCCGCAATGCCCCCCACCAGACCGCAACTGATCATCCACAGATGCCATTCCCAAAGCCATCTAGCGTTTGGACTACCCCGGCACAGCCGAGCACCAAAGCTCCTTTAGCTTCGTCCTTGGCAGAGACAGGAGAGGGAGACCCTGCGAAACCCTGTCCAGACGGTCTTCCTGATTCCCAGCCATCCTTTTTTTGGTCTCTCACTTGGATATTAGGATACGTACCAACATAATGTGAGACCAAAAGCAATCAATTGGGATCCTGCTGGAAATACGAAAAGAGTCACATACATCTCAAGAAAAGGCCACATACAGGACAACAAACCAGCGGTGAATGAAAAAAAAAATAAAAAAATTCAAGACAACAGACAACTGATACGTTACAATCGAAGACGTTGGACATGGCATAGTCAGGCTCTCATAGACTCATACAACTGGGGACCGTCCACTTCTCTTCCAGCATCTAGACAACCAGCGTCGCCCTCATTCGCTGAACCAAAGAAAAACCAACACTGGCTTCCTGTGCTCCTCTCCTGGCCAGACCTGGTTCTCTATATCCATCGGAAGCGGACACCTCGCACGCAGGGCCACGCATCGAGTCGCAGGACGAGTCCATGAGTTTGGTTGCGAATTCCCACATTCCGCCGCTCCCCGTCCACTCACCACTTCACAGCCCCCCTCCCCTCCCCTCCCCCAGTCCGCACACTACATCTTGCCATTTGCCGAACGAATTGCTTGCGTCGGAAATCGCTTGCATATCAGTGAAGAAAAACGGAACCCTGGTTCTTGCGCACGCGATAGAAGTGTCGAGAGCCTACGAATTACTTGGTCTCGACCTTGAGACTCATGACAAGCTGGCAAACAAGTTAACAGCACTTGAAAGATCCACGATCGGGTTCAAGGTGTCGAGAAAATATCCACGTTTGGGCTGAAGTTGTCGAGCAACACAACTCCATCCAGAGTTCAAAACCAAGGGTGTACCCTCGTCGCTCTCGTCTATCTATCCCCATTATTCTCCTCCTGGTCTCTATCCGTAGACTCTCGTCTACCAGAAGCACGAACCAATTCCCCTTCCCCCTCCCCCTCTTCCCTCCCACCAGTTCGTGAGCTTCAACATCGCTCCCCTGGCGGTCCATCATTCTCATTAAACCCCATGTCACAAGGCTACGAATACAGCATAGCCAGCTCTGTCCGAACTCCTCATCAAGGCTCAAGACAAGACAACCCCCTCCAGAGACTGTAAAACTCGTCTCCGTGTGTAACGCGCCACATCCCATCCCGCAAACCGTACTCCCCGAACCAGACAGTGTCGCATTCTCCAGCCTCGCACAAGGGTTTTTTTTTTAATTCCCTCCCCGGACTGGTTTGGCGTCTGTGGGTTTCCACCGCACCGTCTCACCACTCCCACGTCTCGATAGCTCTCCGTCTCTCACTCTCACTCTTCACTCGCAATTCCACTCTCTCACACACTCCTTACACAAACCTCTCCCTCCTCCACCTCCCAATCTCTCAGCCTCCACAAGAGCTCGCCTCTCACGATTACTATCGCAGCTTGATCCCAGCTGTGTCCCTCCTCCTTCACCCAACACCACCAACACCTCACAACCTGGTCCCAGTCTTTGTACGGATAGTCTCAGCCACCTACTCCCACTACACAGAGCTCTCCCACACCACCCACACCACCTACACCGCAAGACACCGCGAGACAGGCAACACACACAAACACATAGACGCAACATCACAATGGGCTTCTTCGACCTGTCCACAGGCAGCGTCATCTCCGGCCGCTCCTCCCACTCCCGCCGGCACTCCTCCCACCACTCCAAAAAGCACAACAGCAGCAAGCACCGCTCCCGCTCCCGCTCCTCCTCGCGCTCCCGAAGCAAGCGCCACAGCGCACCCAGCATCGCCGCCTCCATCTTTGGCGGCGACGACTACAAGAAGAACAACGCGTCGCGCGGTTCCTTTTTCGGCATTCCCAATGCTTCGCGCTCATCATTCTTCGGCTTCGGCGGTGGTACGTCTCCAGCAACCCATTACCTTTTCCCTGCCCCTTTCATCCCATCATTCTTACTCCCACGAAACTCAATTGGCTCTTCCCAACATCTCAAATTCAAGAATCTCGACTAACATAAACATCTAACAAGGCCGCCCCTCGTACTACAAACGCTCCCCCCGAAACGGCTTCGTCCAAAAAACCCTCAAGCAAGTCAAACGCCTCTGGCGCGACCTAGTCTACTACGCCAAAAAACACCCCTACAAAGTCGTCGCCCTCGTCATCATGCCCCTCATCACAGGCGGCTTCCTCACCGCCCTCCTCGCCCGCTTCGGCCTCCGCCTCCCGCCCGGCATCGAGCGCATGATTGGCATCGGCGCGAAAGCCGCCTCGGGCGACTCCATGGGTCTCGTCGGCGAGGCGGTTCGCATGGCGAGCGGCGGGTTTGGCGGCGGGCTTGCTGGTGGCGCTGCTACCCGCGCGCATGTCGAGAGAGGGTATGATGGGGATTATTCGTGGGAGAGGAGGAGTGTTGACCGTGATGGTGGTGGTGGTGGTGGTGGTGGTGGCGGCGGCGGCGGTGGTTGGGCTGATGGGCTCATGAGTGGTGTTGCCAAGATGTTTGTTTGAAAACCTCTCGATTCATGAGGCATGGGGGGAAAAAGACGAACGGGGTAAGAATCACGACTGGTATGGGTGGACAGTTTGTTCAGCTGTCTGAAGGGCGTCTACTTTTGGGTTACGGGATCTTCGACTACTTTATTCTGGTTCGTCCCATGCATCTTTGGAAAATGCATGCCACGTTAGACCGTGCATGGCGCATTTACATATATATATATATATACCTTTAGATATATCAAGACAACGATTTATGACCATTAGACAAACTTGTCAAGGGAGTGTGCACGGAAATGAGTGCCATATGGAGCAGATGCAGCGATTGGGAGAGCGCGGAATTCATTAAGAAATATTGTTTCTATTGTCGATACAGGACCCAATAGACAACTTTTGACCCCGGCCCATAGCAGCGAAAGATTACTTCTTCTTGCGCCGGCCACCAGTAGGCTTCCTCTTGGACGGCGACGGGTTGGCCGACTTCTTACCCCGCGAAACCTCACGTGCCGGTTCGCGGGCGGCAGCCTCCTCCACGGCGATGGCCTCCTTACGATCACGTCGTGTCGTCGGACCAGACGACACCGGCGGCGGCTGCGGCGGCTGGACGATCTTGGCACCATTTCCGATGCCGTCGCTGGTGCTTTCCTCGCTGCTCTCCTCACTGCTCTCTTCGCTGCTGCTCTCCTCGGGTGGCGGCCCGCGCGGAGCTCGGCCACCTCGACCCGTCGGAGGCGCAACGGATGTTCGGCGCCCGTCGGTGGAGCCCGACACGTTGCGTCGAGCGGCAGCGGCGGGACCTTCGGTCTGGAACTGGAAGGGGTCAACGCCATTTCGCGATTTTGACAGAGACGATGTCGAAGAAGCAGGCGACATGTCATCCGATGGCAAACGTTGGCCTGGTGCGCCCTGGACGTAGGCGTAGTTGAAGGGCGACGAACCCCTTTCGCCCATGATTCGAGACGTCGGTCGCTGCGAGGCGGAAGTTGCCGATCTAGGGCGAGTACGAGAAGCGTTGGGCGGCGGGAAGTACCCCATAGGCGGCATCGCACCACCGTCTTGGACATTGGCGAATGTGCCAGGCGACGGATGGCGCGGCAGATCGTCCTCCAGAGTCAAGGTGGGCGACCTTCTGCGAGAAGAGGTCGGCTGAAATTGCGACAGCGGAATGGCGAACCGCTGCTCCTTCTCGCGCTGCTGCTTACGCTCCTGCTTGCGAGCTTCCTTTTCAAGGCGCTTCCTCCGTCGTTCCAGGGCGGCCATCTCGTCTTTGCTGAGGTTGACCTCGAGCTTGCCTCGTTCTTGTGCACGTCGGATGCGGGCCAGGGCTCTTTGCGCGAGCGCCTCATCCCGCTCCCTCGGCGAAAGCTGATCCCAATCAATCTCTTCTTCCTCTTCTTCGTCGTCGTCTTCCGAAGAGGACTCTTCCGAGCCCTCGCTGTCGTCTTCGCTGTCGTCCTCGTCATCGTCCGAATGCTGGTAGTCGTATCCTCTCCGCAATGCCGTCGTCCGGTCACCCACGTCTGTACCCGTAAAGCGGAGCGGGTCGCTTGCGAACCGCTTCCCTCGCGAAATCAAACCAACGCCTTGTGTATCCGAATTGTCCATTTCCGTCTCCTCTAGCTCCTCGACAACTCTCGTCCCGTCCTCCCAGGACCCCTGTTGCGCAGCTCCCTGTTTCCTCCGCCCGCGCATTGATGGTCTTCCCCACTGGGGCGCAAATTTGGGAGCTCGCGGCCGACCATCTAGACCGCCTCCCCGGAAAAAGCCTCATCGATAGGCTTGTCCATAAAAGCAGCGTGGCCAAGAATGACCACGCCAGAAGCACCAACGAGCCAGAGCAGCGTCGCGAAAGGCGAGGCGTACAGGCCCAAGGGCACAGAGATGACGAGGAGACCAGTCCACAGTTGGGAAGTGGTGGCCTTGAAAGAGCCAATCTCGAGATCACGACCGTCGAGCTTGCCAATGAGGAACATGCCCGCAATGACAAAGATGATGTCGAACAGCAACAGCCAGTTGGTCAGCAGAGCGTAGATGCTGAGCATCAAGAAGACGACGCTGTAGTTACTGGAGAAGTAGGAGAGGTTGTAGTTCCATCGTGACTGGACCTCGCCAAAGTTGGCGGGCTTGGAGAGACGCTTCATGTCGAAGAACTCGCCAACGGGCTTGAGGTTGGCGAAGCGACCGCTCAAACCGCCGGAACGCATGCTGTTAAAGCGCTCCTGCAGGCCGAGACGGTTCGTCAGGGCATCGATGGGAATCTGGATGCGAGCCATGGTGTCGGTTGTGGATGTCGAAAGTGCGATTGATGCGCGTCGGTGAGGTGGATGATGTCGGTGGAGGAGGGTAGATGAAGATGCAGATTGTCAAGGGGGAGACTTTTGTATGCTTCGCGGACCGTCGCACAGGAAAAGACCGTGTTCTATATGAGCGGGTGCGGGTTAGCGTGATGCGCAGGGTGGATGGTGTTGGTAGGAAGAATGGTGGATTTGAAACATTTTGGGAGGTTCAGGCCATGTGTCTTTTCAGCTCCATTCCTCGTGGAATTAGCTTTCCTGACGCGCGGAACGGAACACGTACGTACCTTGGGGCGATGAAAGGTACCTAAGGAGCGGTAAAGGTTAAAGAAAGCTGGTGCCTTGGAGGGGTGGGCAGGCGATGATGCAGGCAGAATTCGGTCCCAAATGCGGGAGAAAGTTGGTGCTGACTAGGCAGAGGCTGAGCAAAAGTCGATGAAGACGTTGGTGATGATGGTATTGTTGACGTTTGTCTCGTCGTGGTCGTGGTGGCTCGGTACTGAGGAACCGAATACCTCTGTATTTTTTTCTCCGTCAGCTTTTCTTTTTTTTCGTACTCCGTACGGGTACCCCAACCAAGCAGGGAAAATCTCGGTAGGTGCTGGGCAGTGGGCAAGGCAGTGTGGGCGGGCTGGATCCGTAATCTCGTCAATTCAGTTCAGGGGTGCAATGATGATTGCAATGCACTAGAAAACCGTAAAACGGTACGTTTTCCCACACGTTTGGTTGGCGTGGGAGAAAGGGGGCCCCTATCCGGTCGTCCGTGTTCCCCGTCCTGGGTCTTGGATTCTCGGTCTCGTCTCGTGGGTTTTGGGTAAAAGGAAGGGATGAATGGATATCTTGATGTAAAGGGTGAGGCTGGAGCGAATGCATATTCGAATAAACACTCAAGGAATTCGCTACCTTGGACTGAATGCCAGATGAACCATATGATGCGGGAAGGGAAGGTAGGAAGGTATGCGAATCATGTGACAACGGCAAGGGAACCTAACGTGAGGCAAGGACGAAGGGCAGTTGTAAGAAATGGAAGGTGGAGGCCCAGGAACTGACTGGGAGAGGAAGGCGGCGAGGGGTTTGCAGGACATGGGATGAGAAAGAGCGTCGCTTACCTCTTGCCAACTTTGTTCTTTAAGTGACCTTCCTTCCCTCGAAACTGTTTCGACAATGGAAGGAAACAACCTCAGCGTTTCTCACTCAGCTTCTGTTTCTCCTTCTCTTTCTTTCCTATCGTGACAGTTACCGTCGTTTGGTTGTTTGTTCGCGCGGGGGCGAGCTGCGGGGGGCTCGCCCTCTCCTTGGTCGTTGACCTTTTGTATTCCTTCCACGCTCGGAAAGAAACAAAACAGTCAATGGTTGTGGTGATGCATCTCCCGCCGGTCCTCCATCCGACTTTGCCAGTCAGAAGAAGAGGATACACAACGGGGAAACGACAAGACGATGGGGAAGAGAAGGAAGAATCCGACAAAGTACCGACGATCGAAGGGGATATGGGCAAGCTTAATGAAGGAAGCGGAGAGAGACAGCCAGCTGCCAAAGAGCTCTGACCGCCCCTCCATTAACCAAGGCAGACTTTTCCTTCTCGTCATGGTGTATCTGACTTTTGGGCTGCAACTAACACTACTCCGTACACCGTACCTACCTTACCCAAACCACCTTGCTTTATGACACAACCGCGGCTACTATTACCCATTACTTCCCTGGTTTCTACCTCGTTGACCCCCCCCCCCCGCGAGTACTGACGCATCCGGACGGGGGGGAGCAAGACACACGAGAAAGCTTGAGAACCACATCGGAGGATAGCTCATAGCCCATAGGTAGCTTCGAGCTGAGGCGACACACAAATACTCAATGGGTTCGATGGGATAGGACAGCGCGGCAGCTGGCTGGACCCCTCTTGCGTGCCTCTGGCAAGTCAGAGCCGGCCAAGTCGCATTCAAGGCTGTCGAGCCGGAGCCTGTTTCCACACCGCATGGTCGTCTTTCTCCGGACTCCAGTCTCCAGCACGCTCAGCAGCGTCTTCTCTCCCGAACACCCACGCACATATGGGGCCCGTCTCCCCGAGAGCGAGAGCTTCTTGCGATGGAACTTGGAGGCGGTGGGAGAGAAGACACCGGAGGCTGGAGCTCTCGTGCTCTTCCAGACTCCCCCAAAAAAGACAACCACCACTCGGTCGACGGGCACCACAAGGGACCAATGACAGACTAGCGGTACCTAACGATGGCGACCCGAGCGGCAGACCCCCAAGGAAATGGTAAGAATGACACTAATGTGAAGAAGAAGCAGCCATCGCCCGCTAAATCGTGACGTGAGGCCAATGGGCTGGAATGAAGGAAGGGATGACGGCCGAGCCAAAGCAGACTTTTCTCTCAGAGAGACAAAAGTCTCTTTCCTTCCGCGCCTTGCGTGCTTGCTACAATCCCAGCCTGACCGCGCCCTTCGATGCCTGCGGCCTTTTGTTGGTGTCTCAAGGCAAGTTCAGATATCGCCAAGCCATGGCCAGCCAATGCCGCCATCACACCTGACTTCCATACCTTGCGATGATCAACATCCCGAGGTAGTTAGGAACATAGGGTAGCGTGGAAAGCCGATAGATAGGCAAATGGCGCGCGCCAACGCAGTAATGCATTGATGCGGCAGCTCAGGAGGAAGATCCGGGTCGGAGCTTCAGCCTTTACGTCGTATCCGCAGACTCTGAGTCTGGAGTCTTCAAGTACTCCGTAGAGTCACAGTCACCCAAACGACACAGCTTGTGTGGGTAACTTCCGGCTCGCTTAATGAGCTTGGGGCCTCGGGCTGGAATAGTTGCAACACTCAAACGCTTTGTGGCATCTCGGCACGCGTGTATTGATGTGTATCCGTACACTGCCGCGGTATCTGTATTCGTCGGGTATTATTCTCAACTGCTTGCTCCATCTTGATGTGCCTGAGGTTCTTCCTTGCCTGAGATGATATCTTTGGTACGTACTCTGAACAACTTCGGGTAATCACCACAAACGTTTTACGAACTGGGAAGCTACGAAGTACCTCACCTTACCTTAGGTAATCCTGGGATAGAAGGTATGAAGGTACCTCTGGAAAAATCTGAAGCCCGAGACAGTACGTATCTGACAGCACCTCAGTCTTTCCTTCTCGGAAGCCAAAAGAGTCCAATCGCAACATCTGGTCGTCAGAAAATTGAGAGAAACACGGGCAACCCATCAGATATTTCCATCTCTTGCTGGGGTACCCGTACACTACTAAACAGTCAGACAGTACTTCCTTCTTCCCTTACCGTCTCTCCCGCCCGCCGTCAGACTGTTTTGTCTCGCCGTGCCGCCGCCGGAGTCTCAATGATGGTTACAAACCTGAAGTCTCGGCTCTTTCCGTGTCCACATCATCATCAAACATCGACAAATCGCTCGCCTCGAAAGTTCCAGGTTTCTCGCTCGCTCGCTCGCTTACCCGTCATCACATTCGCTCATCACCAACAACGTGAGCTGGGGAAATATAATTAATCCCGACATGTAACTGGACCAGGACCACGAGCTTTCCAACCATGAAGGTGGTCTCCACCCACCCCCACAAACTGTTGGAGCCCGCTCTCCCAGGCTCCCATGCTCGGTGATCATCACGAAATCTTGTCGTGTCCACTCGGGCCTGAGGCCAGGTCCTTGACTCAGGGTCTCGCATCGTCTGCCATCCATCCATGATCCAACTGCCAACTCAAACGCGGCGCAAGGTGAAGCTCAGCAATGTAAGCACACCGTGGCAGGTCAAGAGCTAATAGCTGCCAGCAGACGGAAGCCCGTTGAGGTGTCGACGGTATTCGGACAGACCTCACCGTATCATCCGCACGATCCGTCAATCACTCGCAGCATCTGGTTCCCTTCCATCCCGACGGAAACACCTCCCTGCGGACACCTCAACTCAGCATCCATACTTTGTACGAAAATATAATACGTGGACTTTGAGGTGGAGGCGGTTGCTGCTGCTGCCACCTAAAGCCGTGTGCTGCTGACAATACCTTACCTTCTTCACCTTCCCCTGACCTTGCACTCGGTTTGCACCAACGATCCTTTTCATGAAAGTTCCTTTCCAGCATCCGAACCAGATGAGATGGCTACCAACGTCATCTCCCGCTGCCGCTCATCAAACCATCGCAATCGTTGCAGCCCTCTCAGGCTCCCAGTCCCAGACTCAGACTCAAACTCCCATCCGTGAATACTCAAGGCTCAAGCACTCGTCAATCTCGCCTCGTCTCATATGCTTCAAAGAGACCCATCTGTCGTCGTTGTTCATGTCGTCCATCGGAATGGATTACCTTTGGACACGCACGTCCTCGACCCTTGTCGCCTCTTACACCCCCTCTGCCCCTCCGATCCCAATCCCTTTTCTTTTATATTTTTTATATTTTTTTGAATTCGGATAATAAGTGACGGGGCAACTTTTATTTATTACCATTTATCAAATCTATTCTCATCCCGGAGCAGCACACACACCACTCACACCACACACTCGCATCACGCACGCCCCCCAGGACCTCTATCATCATACTCCGTACCCTGCCTTAGCTTAGGGACGCATATCTTTCCTTACGGCTACAGTCCAGCAGCAAGACGAGACAGACGCAGGCTCGCCCGCTCATCCAACGCACGCTACATGCCGTGATTGCTCTTGCTACTACTGCTGCTGCTGCTGCTGCTGCTGCTGCCGCCGCCGCCGCAGTTCCATCACATCTCATCCCTCACTCCCGCCAAGTCACTTGGTGTGGGAAGCTGGGAGCCACACCCAAACATCCTGACACCCCTCCCCCTTACCACCCCCTCTCCTCCTCCCCAACCCAAAGGACTCCAAGAATCCAAGGATTAATTGCTCAAGAGACACTCCCCCCCTCCTGCTTGAGAACGAAATGGGCGAACCGTTCTCTCCCGGGATTGGGCAAACAGCGTTTTAAACCCCGCCACTCTCACCAGATGTGTTGCTACGAACAGGATACGTACCATGTCCTTTTGTAGCCGTTGTATCGCAGTCGCATGAGCTGCTGTTGCTGTTCGCCGTTGTAACTCATTGCAAAGGTAGCTAGGTATCACTGGCTACTTACTAATGTCGATGCTTGCTGCTACATTCCCCTACAGCTAAGGTACGGATACCTTGCCTTGACTACGTCTCCGTACGGAATATTACCCTGCCATTACGGATCACCTAGAGCAAATATGGTACCTTTTCTTAACGCACCTCTAAAGCAATCTTGCAGTAGCAGTCGCAGACTCGCAGTCACAGTCACCACTCACTCCCCAATAAGCGAAAGTACTTTAGCTGTGCCGTACCTGAACCAACCTGGGACCTTGCTCAACCTAGTCTCTTTGGTCCCTTGGAATTGGCCGGATTGATCCTCATGCTCCTGCTGCTACAGTAGTTGTTGCTGCTGCTGCCACTCCTGCTTTGCCTCTCTTGCTCTTTATTTCTCTCATTTTCTTTTTGACCGTTGCAGGTAGGTACTAAGTTGGTTCTTCCCTTTGGGTTGGTTGGTTCGCCCGGCTTCGGGCTGGTTGGTTTGGGTTTGCTGGTGTGTTGTGTTGTGTTGTGTTGTGTTGCGGCTTTGCCCTGGGAGGGAGGTGGGAGGGGAGGAGAACAGAGGAGAGGAGAACAGAGGAGAGGAGAAAAGCAATATTCATCTCCTGGTCCCTAAAGGAAGGAACGAACAAACAACCGAGCATTAAAGACCTTCCGTCCTGTTCGCAAACTCACTATTTTCATCCTGTCCCGTCGGGGGTTTGGAGGCCCGGTATGAAATGATCCCTACGTCCAACTTCTTCCCTCCTTCATCATCATCATCATCATCATCATCATCGACACGCCAGACCATACCATCCTTGCCTTTCCGTTCGTTCGTCTGTCTGCCCTTCCCATGACGGCTCCGTGATCCGTCTGAGTCTCACTTGACACGGACGACGATTGCTTTCTGTCTCGCCGTACCGAATTCCCGTATCTCACCTTTTTTCCTTCGCCGCGCACCTGCGGCTATTATGTCTCTCGCCACGCCTCAAGGTTTGTTCTGCTCTCTTTCTCTGCGTTCCACGAGTTCAATTGATTGCCTTTGATTTTTCCTTCTTTTATGTTTGCATTTTCTCGATTGCCGATGATTTGGATCGATTGTAGGGCTGCTACGGCTGCTACGACACACGGGAAATAGGCGATACGAGGCGCGCGGCGGATGAGATTGGAGAGGACAGATTCGCAATCCTGGGATTATGGAGAGAGAGCAGAGACAGAACGCTGATTTATATCCCCGGGCAAAGAAACCACATTCATCATGGCCCCTCCAACAGCCGCAAAACGACCGCACGCCGCCGTGAGTAAAGGCAGCGCAAACATGCCCACCATCGAGCCGTGGTAAGTCCCAATTCGACGACAACAGCACATCTGCCACATTCTCTTTTTTCCCCCCTTCACACCGATTGGGAGAGCATCCAGGAGAGCTCCCTCCATTATTTCACCCGACAGTTGCAAACATGCGCGAGCTCTTTTTTTTCCCTTTTCCCAATGCTGACCCTTCCTCGTCACCAAACCATAAAGGGCCGAGCTACCGTATCCCAACTTTGACTGCTCAAAGTACAACTACATATTGACCGACGATGGCGGGTTCTGGCAACTGCAACAACAGCATTCGCCCTCAGAAGAGCTCCCCAACGTAGTACCGCGCATCGCGACGAGCAAGTCACCTATACAAAAAGCCCAAGATATCGAATGGACCTGTCTATCAGCAGCATGTCCCTCGAAGCCTTTTAAGCGCAAAGTCGACCTCGACAAGCATTACAAACAGGCCCATGTCGACAGCCAAACCACGGCGCCCTCGCCCGCGCTCTCCCTAAAAGACATCACACCCGCGACAAGTACAAGCAATCCTAGCCCCAAGATCACAACCAAGAAACCGCCAGCCGGCAGCAGCAAGGCCAAGGGCAAGGCCGCGGGCGCAGGGGCGGCGGGGGCGACGGGGACAGGTACAGCGGCGCAAGGAAACAGGAATAACAGCGTCAACGGCGCTGGCAACAATAGCATTAGCAACAAGGACGGCACCGCAGGTGTTTTTCTCTGCGACTACCCGGCCTGCAACCGCAAGAACGAACCGTTCAACCGCAAGGACCGGCTGCGCATTCACCTTACCGACGTCCACAAGGAAGACGTGAGCGCAAAGACGTTTGAGATGACGGTCGCGTGGCTGCAGGAGCGCAAGATCTATCCCAAGTGGTGGCGGTGTTCCAAGTGCCTCGACAGGGTCAAGATCGAGGAGAGCGGGTGGTCATGTCCGCGGGACGGGTCCAAGGTGGAAGACACACGGCGCGAGTTTCGCGAGAAGCAGCATAACATGTGAAGATGCATCGCGGCGTCAGCATTGTCTTTTGTGTCTCACCGGATCGTTCATCACCCCCATTTGCATTGCGTCGCCACGCCAAAGGGATCACGGGCTATTAAAATCGGAGTTTTTTTTTTTTCTTTCTTCATCGCATTAAAAAGTTATCTTCCGGGGGATGGAGGAACTGGCGTTTCGTTTTGTAAAGGTCTAGTTTGAGCCTGCTCCTGTCATTCGATTGGGGATGGGCGGGAAGTACTAAGATTGGGTTACGGTATTTTGGGAATTGCGGGAGTCTGTTCATTTCTTCGAGTCTGGCATCGTCGCTCCATTCGGGCCTGTTGTCGCGAAGGCTCAGCAACTTATTCCCCTCCATCTTCTTGGACATGCTTTTCTCCGTCCGTCTAGGTGGGCAGTTCAGGCGGCCCTCTATTATCCCTTTCTCCTTGCCATGCTGGCACTCTATTTGGAATGATGACACGATCGGGATTCTTGTTCTTCCCGCCTTCTTCCTGGGATACTGAACTAAACCATGTATGAACAACCTAGATGGCTGTCGGATGAGAGCGACTTTTTGTCGATCAGTGTAAAAAGTTTCCGACGAGACGACCCCGCCGTTCATCTCGTCTCGTCTCATCATCATCATCCCTTTCGCATCGCCTCGTTTTCGCAGAGTTGCTGCCCCCCTACCTGCTCGTGCCTGCTTACCAGCGTTCGAGTAATCCAATACCGATACCATACCGTGCATGCCTTAACAACCCCGTCCGGCGCCGATCGCAAGCTGGTCAACGCTCCCCGATGCCAGATGGATGGGCCCCCCAGAATCCCGCGCATCATCAAACTCCACAACAAACCTGGTGGAAACTTCGTCGAGATGTGCGCGCTCAAAGTTTCCCGGAGAAGACCGCTGTCTATCTCTCACACGTGTCTGAACTGTCAAGAACTCTAGTCACTTGTCGAATGAATTTTTGGCTGTTTAGTCTAATCGCTGTGCTAGCATTGCCATGTTGATAGGTTTGGCCTGAAGAAGGAAGGCATGAAAATGACTGCAGGACGGGTGTGCGTTTGGGGTGAGGTGGTGGTCTGATGTACGGGGGGAAAAAAGCTAGGTACGGGCGCCCGGCCGGAACGGTTAGGTTCGTTCTGTGTGGATGGGATATGTAAGGTAGGGTAAGTGTGAGTGTGAGTGTGAGTGTGAGTGTGAGTGGTGCTCAGTCAGCTCTGCCTCCGAAATCTGGGTACACCTGTTCACGGATCTGAGTCTCCATCTTGCTGCATACGCTCGCTTCTTCATGATTGGCGAGGGAATCGAGAAAGCAGTGAGATTATTCCTGCAGCTTGTGTAGATTGTAACATAATGCCTGCTCTCTGCGGCCTGTAATGGCATCTCTATGCATCTCCCCATCCCCCATCCTCATTCCCCATCCATGATCGAGATCAGAATTCCGGATTTCCCAACTCTTGCAGTGTGTGCCTGCTTTCCAATACAGTTTCCCAGCTTGTTCTTCAGGGTGGGATGGAGGGCGTTGGAAGCTTGACATGGGATTCTAAGGTCCCCGATTTCCCTGTCAGTGTTTGGTGTTGGTATTGCTGCTGTTGGAGTATTGTCGGGGTTGATATTCTTGTTTAGTGTTACCTCGTTGGTGGTCGTCTCGCAAAGATCCAATCCGCCATTTTGGAGTGCTCCCCGGGACAAGTGGACTCGACGCTATTCCGGGGCGCCGATCGAATCGAAATCTTTTCCCAGTCAAAAGAAGAAGAGCGCTCCGTAGGGGACGGTCAGGACCCCCTTTGTTCAGTGTGGACGATCTCGCCAGTGCAACCTCCCTACAGACTACAGCGTGAGATATAGATCTGAGGCTGGGCTGGATATGAATACCGGGGACCTTGAAATGCCTTTGCGCAAAAGCTGACGGCACGAACCTTTGGGCTTCGAGAGTCTTCACTGCAAGGTTGAATGAACGGGGTTGGGGGCCGGGGGCCGGATATGCTCGTGTTCTAAACAGGCGATAACCTGGGGACGATCTGTTGATCCCATCCATCTTTGGCTTGTCGTCAAGACGGGAAACGCAAGAGAAGAATATGAAGTTGCTTTCGAGCGGACGAGTTTATCACAGAGCATTCAGAGAGCACTCGTCAATGTCGACTTGAGATGAATCTTTGCTTCACGGCCATGACCTACTCGAGTAACCTGCTCAGAAAACATGACAGATGTCAAGTTTGCGTATAATCCACTAGCATACGTCGGCGAACGCTGTGTCGTGGTCATTCATATCAAGTAGCCCTAGAATTCTGTACATGCAAAAGAAGCAAAGTATGTACATTCGATTCCAGATCAAGTCCCCCATGGCTAGTCACCGGAGAGTCAGTGATCTGGAACTCAATTGCCTTTGACCAAGAGTGGCCTCAACGAAGTTGTGTTTGTCTGGACCACCCAAAGGCCAAAATCCCCGGTAACCCACAACCTCCACCTAGGGGATACCTCTCTCCCGTCCGTCCCTATATCCGCAATCCGGATGAATGATGTGCATTTTTCGTAAGCAATCCACCTGGAAAACGCCATGCCTGATTTTGAAGAAATCCCTTGAACCCTCCCTTATGCAGCCATAAATGCCCTTCTAACATCCCTATATCATGAGAGTCGTGTCCATCGTTTTTGTGCCGCACCAAAGGCGACCGGTGGGGGTCTCCTCCTCCTTATGCGAGGTAGCGATACGTCGGCGTCGACGCATCTTCTACGCGTTCGAGATACTCTCGCACGATCAAGTCCTCGATTCGCTTTTTGATAAGACTAATCTCGGGCTTGAAGCGCCCACTCAGTTGGTCAATGACCTCTGTAATGAGCTGCGAGTGACCAAGCTCCTTGCGTTGCCTATGATAAGGTTAGTAAAGCCAGGAGACAAGGAGCCGATCCGAATACGTACTTCATGATGCGGACGAGAGCGGCATCGATGACGTGGGCTCGAGTCTGGTTGTTCTTCTCTTCAGTTGCCTTCCGTTCGTCGTCACCCTCGACCTTGCTGGTAGCATTGATGATGGGCGCCTTGATGCGGACGGTCTTGCTGACAAAAGAGGCGTTGAATTTGAACTTGTCGCCGGGCTTGATGCCCTTGGTAGCGGGTTCCTTTGCGAGCACTCTAGCCTTGGGAACGATAGACAAAGAAGTCAGAGTCCTCGCAAGATCTTGCATTGGGATGTTGGTCTTGGCTTGAATTTCCTCAAGCGAAAGCTCATCGCCCTCCTCGAGTTCGTTGAACAGCAAAAGGACAACCATGCCGTACGTCGGCACGTTGATCTCGTACTTGCGCTCGCGCGCCAGGGGGCCCTTGCCTCCCGGGACCGCGGGGAAGGTACAACGAACGTCGGCGCTACCGGTCGACCCAAGCCAAGTCAGCTTGCGGCCGCTGCGGTTGGTGAGGTAGTATTTGAGTAAGCTTTCTTGGAGGCGCTTGATCTCTTCAGGGAAGATGCAGCCACCGCCTTCAGAAAATTGGGACGTGCGACCCATGATCTCGGGGGGCCATGAGTTGGTAGTCAAGATGTTGACACCCAGCTCGATCTGCTTCCGAGACACATCGCCCAGTCCCCTAATATGGTCGCGATAGCCTGAAGTCAGCTCGGCAGACGACTCCATGTCTCTGAACATGCCCTCGAACTTGGCTGTAAACTGGTTGCCCAGCTCCTGCTTCATTCGAGAAATCATTGACCTCTCAACATCGTGACTTTCTGACTTGTTGTTGAGTAGACGCTTGGCCAGGTGCTTCTGGTAGTAACGCTCGAACAGATCCTTGTCTGAGAGATACCGGATTACAGTAATGGCCTTCTCCAGCACCGCCTCAGTTTCCGTCTCAGTCTTGCCACGAATGCCGCGTCGAAGATTGTCGTCAATGAAGAGCGATACGTACTCGGAGCTCTTGGTGAACATGTTGATGAAATCGGAAAAGCTCTTTGTAAGCGAGGTTTGAATGATCAAATCCTCTTGGAAGCACTTTTTCCACAAGTTGTCGAACTTGTCCTTGAGCTTAAGCACGTCGTCAACCCACTTGATCGCCGCGGCTGTCTGCTGAGCCGAAGAGCTGAGTGCCTTGGCCTTCTCTCCGCCTTCATTCTCTTCTCCATCGGCTGGCGCAGATGCTGCAGAGAAATTCGTCTCCTTGAGCATTTGCTCAATTTCGAGGCCGAGTTCGACCACCCGCGTAGACAAAATCTTTTTCAAAGATGCCTTCTTGGGGTCAACTCTCGATACCAGCTGGTAGAGAATGGATAGCTCTTCCTCACGATCGTAGTTGACCATAGACTTGAGCCCACTTCCTTCGAGGTTCAAAAAGTCGTCCAGATGCGCTGAAATCAACTCTTCCTCAACAACCTTGATGGATCTCTCTCTCGTCTCATAATGAATAGTAGTATCGCATCGGTCGTTTTCCTCTTGTAGTCGGCGTTGAGTGTGCCGCAGCCAGGCGCCGGCGTCAGCCTCCCGAAGCAAGCGTTCACACTCTCGCTTGTAGTACTCTCGCTCGGATTCAAGGTAAGCAGGCTCGAAGACTGTCAGGTACAGCTTCTCTGCCTCTTGCTCTTCGTCCGATTCGTAGAGAGAATCGAGCATCCTTATGATGTTGCGTAATAAATGCCGATCGATGGTGTCCCCATCTCGCTCCATATTCACGTGATCGAGGATAACCGAGTTGAGGATGTCGAATACAGTATATTGACCCCCTGAGTTCAGTGACGCTCGCAGGATGTGATCACGGAACAGTCCAATCGTGGCGGTGTAGATGGACGGCCGACGAGCATCTTGAGTGTAGCCACGGTCGAGGTACATCAAGATGTCAGCCGTCATGTTCATTGACGTGTTATGATGCTCCCATGATTTTCTAACACCGCTTAGAAAGTGCTCGCCCATCTTGCGTCGTTCGTTGACCGAGGTAGCCGCGCCACCCATTGCGGCGCTAACCAGGTTGGCCGTGACAAGCTTTTCGATGTCGGGAATGACGTGTTCAGAGAAGTACTGCTCTTCGAACTGCTTGACGCGGTCGTACAGCATCTCGCCCTTTTTCTTCAACACTATCTTGTAGGATGCTCGGTAGAGCTGCTCGAATGAGAGTGTGCTGCAGTTTTGGTTGTGGATGTCGGTCAGGGCTTGCTTCAGTGTATCCCAGCACTGCTCGAAATCGCTCGTGTCGATGCCAGATGTGAGCTTTTGACCTGTTAGTTTTCATTCTGAAAGTCTTGCCAGTGGCTAGTGATCTTCATCCAAAGCATCCCAGCGGCCGTCTTGCAACCCGGTGGTCCCCGAACAGCATGTACAATATAGGTGTGGATTGAATAGAGGCAAGCATGCAAGAAATGAAGTCGTAGTAGACATTATACTCATGGCGGCGCTGGAGCCGTCATCACAGAATGTGCAAGAGCCAACAGACACACACACACACACACACACACACATGGCAGCCAACACCAGTCGCTAGAGTCGGAAAGACTTACTCGTCCAGGGCGGCGCGGGGGCCGAATGCGACCGGCCCGCATGGCCGTACCCCCTCCACCTCTACCAGAAATCATCGTGTATGTATCTGTATCTATTTTGAAATCGTGTCCGAAATATCGCTGCGAAATTCGGTCGTGGTTTGGTTGGTCGTTTCAGGTCGAGAAAGCTATCGTGGGAAACCTGAGTCGGTGGCGGCGGGGTAGCTCTCCTCAGAAAGTGTGGCGGGCAACTGAGGGACTCTAAGAAAAAAGAAAAAAGAGGAGCCAGGCTGCTATGCTTCGTAAGAACTAGAAGTAAAAACTCGTGAAAAGAAGAAGAAAAAAGGAACAGCCTGGCTGATGCAGAAGAAGTTGACCGCGTCAAGGACTGCGGATTCTGCGGCAAGAGTGGTGGGATTTGATACAAGGCATCGCAGAGGAAGGAGATACCCAGGCCTGGTATGTAAGTCGCAAGTTCGGAGAAAGCCACGGCAGGGCAAGGCTGCGGAGCCCCGAGGCCGGCATGGCCCGCGCTTTCCACACACGAGGCGAAAGGTGCGACCGGGCTGTTGGACCCAATCAATTTGATCCTGAATCCTTGCACCTCAGCCACGAATCAGCCAGGAGTGGCTTGCTATGATAAGGTAAGCATGCTGGATAACCGTTTGCGCCACATGTGGCATACGTTTCCATCGTTTTCTAAGTCTACAAGGGAAGGAAAAAAATTAGAGAGCAGCAGTGACACTCCAGAAAAATGACGGCATTCCCAGTCCACTTTGAGAACAGCTCAGTCAAGCTCTAACTCTTTGCCTACAAACTCCTACACCACAGGCTTCAACCACACATCAACGCACGGCTACCACCACCACTACCACAACCATCCTTCCTTCCGAAATCGCAGACGACACATCAAAATGGCCTCCCGTTCAGCATTCGCAAGATTGGCGCCCGTCCTGCGACAAGCTCGCCCAGGCGCCTCGCCCTTGAAGCGCAGCAGCCCAATCCTCTCAGCTCTCCAACAACAACCACGACAACAACCATCCCTCCTACAACCCACAATCGCCGCCCGCTTCGCTCACACAGTCCCCAAACCCAAAGCAGCGCGCGAAGCCGAAGCAAAGACACCCGCCCAAATGCGCATGGAGACCTCGCCGCACTACCAGCTCGACTTCACCTGCGTGCCGTGCGACACCCGCTCCCGACACAAAGTCTCAAAGCAAGGCTACCACCACGGCTCCGTCCTCATCACCTGCCCGTCGTGCCGAAACCGTCACATCATCAGCGACCACCTGGGCATCTTTGGCGATCGCAAGGTCACTGTTGAGGACCTGATGCGCGAGAAGGGCAGGCTCGTTAAGAGGGGCACGTTGGGTGAGGATGGCGATATCGAGTTTTACCCTGATGAGAGCGCTGCTGGTGGTGGTGCTGATGCTGAGGCTCAGGCTGCGGAGGTGAAGAAGGATGGGTCTGCTTGAAGGCTCTTGGGAAACGAACTGTAAAAATTGTACGATACTTGTGGCAGACTTGGTGAGGGCGACCGAGGCCTCGGTTTGCCAATGGATTGAGTGACTGCATACAAAGGCGTTCAGGATACCCATCAACACTTATGGGAACACACAAAAATGCGGGACATTGTAACAACAGAATAGATATCACATATGAACGGGCAATGGCAGCCCCTGTACTATATAAATACAACCCTTTCAAAAACACCTTTAGTACCCTTTCTTTTTTTTTGTCCCCTTCCCAAAAAAACGCCAGCCCATGCAAACGACTTTTGACGATGATTACCACCCCTTGTACGCCTGCCTCTGCTGCTTATGCTCCTGGCCTCTAACCTTCTTCCTCTCCTTCTTCTTCTCCGTCTTCTTCCTCTTGTCCCGACCATACTTCTCCGGCTGCGCAATTGCCTCAATCTTGCGCTTGCTCGACCTCTGCTGTCGCCTATTGCGCACCTCCTCCCTGATGGACAGCAGCTGCTTCGTGTACTCTGCCGTGCCAAACTTCTTTTGGAGCGAGTCCATGAGGATCTGCGCCCTCGTCTTGAGCGCCTCGAGTCTTGTCTTGAAGAGCTCGTCCGTCGAGTAGGGCACGGGGATGTTGGGGTCCGTGAGGTTCTGCAGCGGGTAGAGGATCGTCTTGAACGAGGGCTCGAGGTGGTCTTGCGGGACGCGACGGCAGATTGTCTCCAGCACTTCCATGGCGACAGTCTTGGGTGTGATGGCGGTCGACTTGGGACGGACGTCCTTGCGCAGGATGGACGAGAGCTTCCAGAAGAGGTACTGCAGGTCCTTGCGGTGCTCTTCGATTCTGTCCTCTTCCGCCTCGGCTTCGTCGCGGTCGCCGAGAGTGTCTGCTTCGGGCACGGTTTGCACCTTGACGGGTAGCCGTGGGCCGAGGAAGATTAGAATCTGCTTGATTTCCTCGGCGAGCGCGTCGTCAATCTCTGGTGTTCTCAAGGCGTAGAGCGTCAGCCTGACGAGCTCCTCCAGGTCCTCGAGCTCGAGGTCCAGACCGTGAGATCCTTGGAGTACTTCGCCTGCTTTGCTTGACTTGCCAGCGTAGTCCGCGAGGAACGTGCTCAGTACCTTGGTGGCGCTAAGCTTGACGGAGTTCTCGGGGTGTACGAGGCAACCGCCGACATCTGCCCAGAGTTCCCTAGACTCGGTAGACAGGAGTCTTGCTGGGTACTTTTCTGTCAGAACCTGAAGGTCGCGGAGAACAGTGTTGACAAGGTCTTCATCGGCAACGCGGATGTCACCTGTTCCCACAATCTCTCCAATCTTGGCGAGAACCAGCTCTAACTCCTTCTTGTGCTTGGTCGAGGGCTCCTTGGCCTCGAAGAAGAACCCAAAAGCTTGCAGCGACAGCTTTGTTACCGCTTGGTTGTCTTCTTGCTCAACCCATGATCGGAGCAGTGTCATGAAGTTCTGCGTTCTCTCCTTATCTGCCTTGCGGAACATCTCCTTGACCAGTTCTCCCGCAGCGAGACAGCACTTCTCGCTGTCGTCGTTGGCAAGCACCATAACCAGGGGCAAGAAGCAAGTGGAGATGACTTCCTGGACGAAGTCGTCCGCAGACTTCATGAGAAGCAGATGAACCACTTCCATGACAGACAAACGGCCGCCTTCACGCTCATATGTCAAGTTCGCGACAACGAAGTTGAGCTGCTTCACCCAGCGGGCCTTTCTCTGCGGGTAGTCCTTGAGGAACTGGAAGAACGCGCCTCTCGCCAGATCACGCGTATCCTTGTCGTCATTCGTGATCATGACAGTGCCGACGTAATCGAGGGTATCGTAGACGACTGCCGTCTCGATCTTGCGCTCGAGAACAGAGCGCACAAAGTTGAAGGTGACGTGGCGGTAGAGGGTCTCTGTCAGGTCGTCCTTGAGCTTACCGAGGAGCATATCGATAGCGGCGTCCTTGACGGGGATCTCCTTGCGCTCGCGGAGGACAACCGAAAGCAGCTTCAGAGCCGCTTGCGACAGGTCGGTTGTGGTTGAGGTTGACATGGAGATGCTCTTCGTCGCCTCTTTGACTGCAACCTTGAAAAGCTGAACGTCCTCGTCGTTGTTGAAAGGCACCTTGACAAGCACGGTGAGAAGCTTGAAGGCCGCGACCTTGACGTCGTCCTCCTCGCCGACGATGGCGTCTCCGAGAATGGGCACGAAGCCAGCGATGTTCGCGCCGGTGCGCAGGCTTTCGTACTTCTTCCAGACCGACCGGAGGATGTCAAAGGTGAACTTGACAAGCTTGAAGGTGTATTTCCCGGCGGTGCCGGAGTTGTCCTTCTTCACGCCCTTCTGGTAGAGGTACTTCTTCAGGCGGAAGTCGATCTTGGGCTGCACCTCTGGCTTCTTGCTCTTGTACACCTCCTGAATAACCTCGTAGCAGAAGATGAGGGTGTCCCGGCTCTCTGCGGCCGGGTTCTGCATCAGACCGGCGGTGATTCTTGCCAGCAGCGTGTCGATCTTGCGAACCAACTTGAGATCCACCTTCTCTAGGAGGAGAGACCGCAAGGGGTGGACGAGGACGACAAGCTGGCTGATGGATGCCGACTTGGCAATGAGCTCCATGGAGTCCTGACTCTTGCTTGCCTTGACTTCCTTCATCTCGCTGATGTACCCTTCGGCATCCTTCTCTTGGCCAGTAGCGCCAAAGATGTCGTCAATGACGATCGCCACGATGGACTTGAGAGTGTAGTCGAGATCACCCTGCTGGAACTGAGGAATGACCTTGAGGAGCATCGAGTGGAGGGTGTAAGACATGACGTGAAGTTGGTAACCTCGCTTGAGAGCGCCGCGCAACTCCTTCAGGATGAAACCAAAGTAAGTCGGGCCGAGGACCGAAGCGATTTGCACAAGAGTGTCTCTGGCCATCTCACGAGCATCCCAGGATTTACTGCGCAGAATGTGGCAGATATCGGTAAGAACACCAGCAAGCTTCTGGCCCATTTCTTCGGACGGCAGGAGCTTGAGGAGCTTGACGATGATGACACCGACAGGTACACGGTAGCTGACCTCGGACTCATCCTTCTCGTGGAGATGCTTGATCAGGGGAGGGAGGAAGAGGTTATTGACGTCTTTGCTGAGCTTTTCTTGCGCGGGCGTCGTGAGCACAAGTCTTTTGCTGATAGGTGTGGAAGTCTCAGCATCGTCAATCTGCATCGCCTCGGTACCCTTTCCTTCGACTGAGAATATAAGAGCATCGCAGAACTTGGCGAGTAGTCGAATCACCTGCTTCTGGTTGTTGGGCTTGGACTCGACGTAGCTGATGTATCTTTGCAGAATAACACGGTAATGCTTCCAGTCCAAAGATTGAGCCAAGTTGCCGATCGTGTTGGTTGCCTCGGCACCCAAGCCCTGGTCGTCGCTACCTTCAGCACGGCCGAAGATGAAGTGCTCGAGGAGAGGGATGAAGAACTGGCTCAGGTTCTGACTGCCAAACTCCGAGGTATCGTTGACAGAGTTCAGCATCTTGATGGCTTCTAGCTGACGCGCGGTCGCGGGACTGAGGATATTGAAGAAGAAGGGCAACTCAGACGTCTCCTCTTCTATATCACTGACCAACAGTCCCTTCATATCCGCAACAGGCTCCCAGGTTGGCATCTGCGAAAGAAGGTAGCCAAAGACTCTCAAGTACTCTCTCCTGATGATGGCAGACTCCTCGCGAGCTCCTTTGTAGATTGAAGGCAATAGAATGGTCTTCAGATGGGTTTCGAAGCCGCTCTTGGATGTCTCGTCTGAGCAGGCCGCCACCTCTCTGATGAACTTGCGCAGGGAGTCTGCAGAGTTCGATGCCAGGATGCCATATTCCTCGTCGGAGCGGATGTAGTAAATCAAGTTGTGCAACAGAGGAAGCCACTGCTTGACAGTGAAGGGGGTTTCCTTGTTTGTGATCCGGTTGAAAGCAGCGAGCCGCTTGTCGTAGTCTGGCTCGTCGATGCGGTTCGGGGCGAAGGCGTTGAGGTCGCGGCAAATTTCGGCAATCTCCTGGAGGGTGGTATCCTTGTCGGCCAAAACTGTAAGGACGCGGGCCAAAGCCTGCCTGTTGTCTCTATCTTTGAAGTAGCTAAAGAGGGAAGACAGGGTCTCAAAGATGGCAATATCAGCAGTCTTCTCTTCCGCTTCCTTAGAGCTGAGGATGGTGATGAATCGCTCCAGAATGAGGAGAATCTTGCCCTTGGCTCTGGGGTTGACTCGTCTCGGCGGCTGGTTGAGGAGGAAGGTTGCGATCTTGAGCGTCTCGCGCACGTTCGCCGAGGTTTCAACGAGGGGAGAAAGCTCGACAATCGTCTCAATGCAAGACTCGAGCAGTTCGTTGCTCATGGTCTGCGTCTCCAACGTCGTGGTGACAGTCTTCAACATCAACTCCATGTTGGCGTCCAGAAGCTCAGTGCGGATGAGCTCGTTGAACTCGGATTCCACAGCAGGTGCCTGGGCCAACTTGATGAGGTTGCGGATGATGCTGAGGGCGAAAATCTTGACGTTCTCCTTCGCCTTGGGCACCGACACGCACTCGATAACCTTGGGCAGAACCTGATCATTGATCGAGATGTAGAGTGCTGCCTTTGGCAGCTGAGACCAAGTTGACAGAAGCTGCATGATGCTTGAGACTGACTGAGCCGTCTCAACGGGGAGCTTCTCAATCCTAGGAGTAACGATCTCGTTCACAATGGGCTCAGAGTACGGTGTCCAGTTAAAGTCTTGGACGTTGCGGAACAGTGTGATGATACACTTGACACCCACAGTCCGGATGGTCTTGAGCAGAGACTCCTGAGAGGCCTCGTTCGTTTCCTCAACCTCTTCATCCGACTCGACAGTGGTTGACTCCTTGAGCCGTCGGGAGGCAAAGATGAGGCAGTACATTATAGGATGGAGCAGCCTTTCGACGTAGGGGCCAACATGCTGGCCAAGTTCGTTGATAAGAGGCAGCATCATGTTCATGAAACCAGTCTGCTTGCGAACAGGAAGAA